CAAACCCCAGTGAATCTTGAAAACAGAAATCCCAAAGATTCCTTTAGAAAAGCAGGGAATCAGTGTGGAAAACAGGGATATCTATTATTTTCCAATTAAATACCACAAACGTTCAAATCGTGGCACAGTGAGGGACAAAGAAGAGTCTGTCCCTACAGCTGGCATCACAGCGCAGCATGGAGAGACGTCAGGCTAAGCTCAGCTTTCCATCCAGGAACTTTGTTGATCTGTTTCACAACCAGCTTAACTTTCCTTTAACTAGTATGAAACATCTGAAATAAAATCTTTACTGGAAGATTACATAACATATATTAACTCACACTCATCCCGAGCTGATGGACAGAGACAAAACTGGACAGTTTACTTAAACATTCAAAAACACAGATTAACTTGAGGGACAGGAAGAAGAACAGAACTTTTCCCAGTCTATCACAGAATCACAGACTGGTTTGGGTTGGAAGGGACCTCAAAGATCATCTAGTTCCAACCCCCCTGCCATGGGCAGGGACACCCTCCACTACACCAGGTTGCCCAAAGCCTCATCCAACACTTCCAGGGATGGGGCATCTACAACTTCTCTGGGCAATCTGTGCCAGTGCCTCGCCACCCTCAGAGGGAAGAATTTCTTCCTTATATCTAACCTAAATCTCTCCTCTTTCAGTTTAAAGCCATGGCCCCTTGTCCTATATCCATGCTGATGACCAAAATCCTAAAAATATGATTTTCTGCCAAACTGCACGTGGGCAGTCGCATCCCACGCACCTCCGCTCCAATTTAGCTCTGCACGACTCCCCTCGCCCCCACTTGCTGCACAATTAGTTATTCCTGGTTTTGTAGGGTATAAACCGCCCTCTGAACATGTCAGAGCTCGTTTAGCAGAGAAATCCAGTATGCCCATTTGTACCAGCGCATTAAACCAGCAATCTCGGTTTACCCCAGACACCACTCTAACTAAATGACTTTCTTACTCCCGGCTTCGTTCAAGGAAATGAAGTTTGACTGGTGAGGACTCACCCAAATCATCAGGGCTTATGGAATTGCTTTGGGACCGCAGTGAATGAAAGGAACGTTCTTATTCCTGATAATGGGAAGCAGTTTTTGTTGAATTATCGTTACGGCTCTAAATTTTCAGCACTTAGATAATTAGGAATTCAGAAGGAATACTGATTGCCAACAGACGTTGGTGCAGAGTGAGGTTCTACAGTGATTTGGGGGGATTTTTAGAGATTAGTTTCCTCACTGTATTTTCTAACGGGGAACTCCACAGCAGTTCTGTGAGGCAGATAATAAAGTACAGGGCCAGCAGAGCACACCCCTGCACACACCAGCATGTCTTCGATGGAACACAAGCACTAGAGCAACGTTTTGGGCAGCGTTCCTTGCTTTATGGGCAAAATGTCAATACTGAAATGCTTAAAAATGCATCTAATGAAGGCATTCCAGTTTATTTCAGTCACAAAAGGGCACTCATTTTTATCATTTTGGTTTGCAGGACAAAATACATAAAACTAACAAGGAATGAAAGAAAGAAAGAAAGAAAACCAGAAAAGAAATAACCCACATCCTTCCCCTTTTTTTGACCAATTTCTAGTTGTACAATCCATCAAACTATAACATTTTGATTAGTTTTTACATCAGGACCACAGAAGCCCTTAAGAATTCAGGAGATGGATGCTCCTTCAGGTGGGATTCAAGACGAAATGATCTGAAAAGTCATTATAACGGTACCATATGCATGTGCAGCCGTAACCACATGTCAAGAATTCTACTGCAACATCAAGATAAATGGTGAGGTCCTGTCTATAGTCAACTTAATATTGAACATAATCAATGGGGCCAAGTAGGGTAACCAGAGGCTCTCCTCCCCCAAAAGCCTACATGCCTAAACATAATTACACAAACGAAATCAAACCCATTAAAACAGTATTCTGCAGGGCACAAGATGAATTAGAAATAAAATATGCAGCTGATCCTAGTTTAACCTTACAAGAAATGTCCCCCTGATGACTCCTGGTCCTCTGTTCTCAATTTCTGCCTCTTGGACAAAAGCAGCATGAGGGGAAAAAGAACAGTTGAAAATGAGGATGTTAGAAGGTTTGCTGAGGGAAAAAGAACCTCAGTGTTAAAAAGGCAGAGGCTGTGAATAACTGAAGGAGACATAACGAGAACTCCTTTCTACCTGACCTACTGAAATGGTTAAACAGTCTTCAAGGGCAGAACTGCATTCATGGTGAAACACCACCAACCGCCCCAGACAGAGTGCCAGGCAAAGCCCTCAGTACCCCTGCAAGGTTCTCATTCCTCCAGTTATCTCATAACACTTTTAGGATTTCGTGCTGTTATGTTGACATGGCAATGTGACGATAATCTCTCTATGAACATACTCTCCACACTTGCACAGAACCTCACGGGCTCTTCACAGTCAACAAGCATTTCCTAGAAGGGAATTCATTCCTGAATTACTCTTCTTGGGAACGACTTATTTGGATGTGACACACCCCGTGATGTCTAGAAAACAAATAAAACATCCCTGAAGACACTTCCTCCCTGGACAAGGATGTAAATCCTCCAAGGACATAAATCCTCCAAGGACATAAATCCTCCAAGGACATAAAATCTACAGCAAGGAAACAGGGACAGTGATTACTCATAGGAATACCTGGCTCAATGCTGAAGTGTCTTTTCTTTGAAGCAGAAACAGGGTGACACAGCTTAGACTAATGTAAACATTGACATAACACTGAGAAAAATTCGCATCTTGAGGAACACAGAGTCTGAACATCTGAATGCACAGGAGGGTCTTAATAAGCTGCTCTCCTTACCTATTTATTTCAATCGATTTGCACACTCTCCATTCCACACTGGTAAAGTAGATTTCATTCTCTCGAAACCTCCTGAATGCTATTTCAGTGCTTGACACGTCTTTACAATCACTTTTAGCAGAAGAGACATGAGCATGCAGCAGTCTAACGGCTAAAGGAAACCTCTCCTGAACTCAATCTCCTCTCGTGGCTGAGCTGAAAAATGCAAAGAGAACAGAATTCTTAATTGCACCATACAACAAAGACAGGGACCCTACAGTTTAAATGCACGTGTGTTCCCCTCCAAAGCAGAAGATGCCCAGGATGCAGAAGGAAAGCTGGGCAGGAGGAAAAACTTTCTGAAGAAGACAAGAAAGCTGCTGTGGCCAATATGAACATAGCAAGAGAGTGTATGTGGCAGCACCCGGTGGCTTTGCCATCCCAGCTTTCTCACTGTCATTTCCAAGTGACAAATTGTTATTGAACAGCCATGCTAAAAAGAACAGGCCCTGCTTTATTTTTAGGCTTCTGTTTGGATGCCAAACTCTTCATACACCCAGTCTGAGAAACACTATTAAAAAAAGAAACTGAAGAGTAGCCAAATTCTTGGCCTGTTGCAAACATTGTGTTCAATAAGCTGTGGTTCAGTTTGCATTGTACTTGTGCGTCAAGAAACATCCTAAAGAGAAGCAGGAATTTACATAAAGTGTAACACTTACCAGGGACAACATTCCCAGAAACTGAGCGTGCTTAACCCTTCCTTTCATTAAAAAAATGTTAGGCTGAATTCAACCACGTAGAACTCGTGGCTATGCCCCATTCTTTAGTACATGAAATGCATCAGGAGCCATATATTGACAGCAACCGTGGCAGCTGAGAAACAAACACAAAGCATCACCTCCCCCAGTAAACTCTGTATTTTCCCAAAATGTGCACCATTAAGATAATCAAGTCACAGCAAAGATGTGTCCTTTCCACTCAAGCTTAGCAAATACGAAAACGTAGCTGTCTTGAAAATCAGTAACAAATTTCCCATAAGTTTCAGTGGAGGGAGGACTTCACCTCGCTGTTGCAGAACAAGACAGGTGTGAGTTTTGCAGCCCAGCTTTCCATGGATGAATTTCAAACTGAGTTATTGCCGCAGACGGCTGGACAAAGGAGGGAGGAGGAACTAAGAGGGAGCGAGCTCAGAAGAATCGTTCACGTTTTTAAAAATTATTTCATAAATTTGTTGTATAAAATCGGATTTGCAGACTCAAAAGCTTAACTATCACATTTTTCTTGCACTGGAAATTTAGATGATAACATGATCTAAGATTGACATCTTCCTTACAGACTCTTAATCTTCCTTCTCTGTTTGACAGCACAGCTTGCCAGAGAGCATCTGTCTTCAAATACTCCAGAACTACACTCCTACAGCACAGTGCCATCAAACTGGGGATATTCCTAAGGCAGAGAGCAACTTAGAGCTGCACTATTCATAAATACACATTTATTTTTCATTAGAAATGCGTAATTACAGCATTTAAAAGCATTTTCCCCTAGAAAAGTAGTTAAGCAACAGTACAAACAAAATTGTTAGTTTTCTGCAAATACATTTTTCATTACACAGAACAGAAAACACCAGCGAAAGGCCAATACTTGCATTTATGGGATTTTTCTTTTTTTAAATATTTTCCATTTTTGTTATAAACACCATAGCAAATTAAAAAAAAAGCTGTTTAAACAGTGAAAAATATTTGAGCTCTTGATCTTCTATATGTGGTAAAGCAAGTATTGCAGAGCAGCAATACACTTCCTAAGATACCTGCGGACATTCAAACGGCGTATGTCACAGAAGAAATGAACAGGATGAAACATTAATTTAGTCTCACGGGTTTGATTCATTAGATTTCTCTCCCTCTTTCTGAAAGATTTTTTTTCCTCTTTAAGTGAACCTAAGGGCAGGCCATTCATTTTTGAGGCCAGATCCTCAACTGATGTAGTGATGTAGCTCCAATTTAAGTAAATGGGTCTGATTTATTCCAGGTGAGGCAACCAGATCATTGGAACTCTGCTACTTGCAGGAGATGTTCGAGGTGTGACCATTAGTCTAAAAGGCATTTCCACGCTCCTGCTGTCGCACGAGGACCACAGCACTTAACTTCTGCTGCCTGTGCTTCACTGACGTCTCCGTTGACACAGCTTTTCGCAATTCTCTTATTGAATCTGGATCGCTCCGTGTTCTATCTGCATTTCTGGCTGGATTGCTGACTGAAGGGTATCAGTGCCCTGCAAAAGGAAAACATGAAATCAATAAATCGATACGAAAGTGCTTTTCATTGGTATAGTCACGGGAATGCGAACAAAGTACACTAATAGAAAGTTCCTGTATATACCAGTGAAAAATCTCCTGGATATCAGCTCTATGGCAGAGTTGAAAGGGAAATATATTTACAAAAGCACTAAAAATAACACAAAGAGCTCACATGAAGAATAAGTAGACCAATGCCCTACAGGCTGCAAAGAGAAGGCTGAAATAATGAAATCACGATAAGGATCTGTAACACCATGAGCAGCACGAAGAGAGCAAATAGAAAACAATTATTCCCTCTCTCTTCCCAAAAAAGAGCCAGCTCTAAAAAGAAACCAAATAAAACCCTGTGTGTGGCACAACATGTGCCAAAGCCACGGAAGGACTTGTCCCAGCACGATGTACATACCAGCAGCTCGGGGGTACAGAGCTGAAAGGTGTCATGGAAGGAAAGTCCACCAAGGGCGATCATAGGAAAGACAGTCGGAAGTCCCGGAGTGACAGAACTATTGTAGGTTAAGGAGAGTAAAACTTCCTGTTTGTGTGCTTGGAATTTCCCCAGCTGCTGCAGGATACGGTCTAAAACTGCTGACTTTACCCACTGCAGTCTTTCTCTAGTTTGGGTACAATGAGAATAGTGCTACTATAGTGAACTTTTTTCTCAAAAATTCTTCCCACAGGGCTGACTCTACTCACTTTCCCAGCAAAAAGAGTCCTCCGTGAAAGAATTTAAAGTAAACACAACTGATTTAAGCTTTCAAAGGAAGTCTCCTTAAAAATTAAACTACTGCCTACCAGTAGTCTGACAACGCTGTGAATGGATAATCCCATAGCAAACCGGCTTTTTAGCCAAGTTAGCTGGAGCAAGGAAAACCAGATTATGAAACAAGCTCCATCTTTAGAGCTATAAGATGAACAGCATTTAAAAACAGCTGTATTGGCTTGGATAAAGTCCATCACACCCAAGAAGCCTTCCCCTGATAGCAGCCAGTATCAGGAGCACAGATAAACTACAAGAAAAGGGCAAGTATTTAATGGTATTTTCCTGTACACTCCCACAGATTCCAGAGATCTGCCCTTGGTGGATTTTCCCTCCATAAATACATCCAATAAATGCTTTATATAACATCCTGGATACAGAATTACTTCTGTGGCAGTACTTCTGTTATGAAAAAGTCTTACTTGAAGCTCTGCTTTATGCTCTCAGCCCACTATGTGCGAGATGATCCACAAAGACACAAGGGTGGAAACTCAACTAGATTTCCCGTCCATCAGTTTTATAATAAAGTCACAACTTCTTTAGTCATACTGGAGGTTCAGAATTATAAAGCACTGCTCCTAAATTAAGGTTTTGTTGTCAAATTATTTCTTTTCATCTCTCTGCCTCGTTGCCAGTAATTGCACACAGCTACAAGATTTTTTTTTTTCCTGTTCAACTCTATAGGTTGTTTGGTGTTTACTTAAATGAGTGTCAAAGTGGTGAATAATTCTATCAGGCTGCTAAATCTGACAGCAGGTAAGTTTTCAAGTGACCATCAAAGTTTTCTTCCCATTAGAGGAAAACTGAAGTAATATATTACCAAATAACAGCAACCACAGCAATACTGAATATTTATCCAACATTCAGAACAGAAGTAGAAGACTGCCAAAGGGATTAGAAGCACTCTTTAGATTTAGAATTCTGTTTTTTTTTTTTCCGAATCTAACAAAATTCACCACCAGCATATGAATTTGAGCACAGAATTAATCCAAATATTCTTTGTCATCATCACCTTCTGCATTTCTAAATTTTGCAAGCTGCTATAAGCAAGAATGCTGAGATACGAAAACAAGCCAACTAAACCTAAATTCCCCAAATTCATCTGATTTCAAACCATGCCTGCCTCCGTACATGCATTTGTAAATTTATGCCAGCAAAATGTTGTTCATATATTAATAGTTTATGTTTCCATACGTGGTTTAGGGTTACTAAGAAACTCTCAGAATCCTACCTATTAATACTTCTGTCTACAGATAATTTGAAAATGCAAAATTGTGCATAAATACATCGAAAATACCAAGTTGAAGTGGATACTGCTGTCTGCTTCTGCTGCAGAGAAGGGATTCATTTCACACAGCCTCACTCCTACCTTCAGCTTTGCATGGGCAATGCCAAAGGCATGGCTTTCAAGAAAAAAGGGCAGAAAACTGGCGTCCTGTTTTCAGACATTAAATAAATTTGCAGCTGTGGTGTTTCAAACACGGAATTTGTGTAGCGCACAGCATCCAACCCAGGTGGACAATGAACTCCATTTTACAAGCTTTCTTTGATAAATAGGTTCAAAATCATTGAGAACATCTCAGTAAGTCAGTGAAGAACCACATGAAAACAGATGGAAGTGTCACTACAGCCTTGCTGACAGGCTTTTCCCTTCAGATAAGAGATCTGAGATGAGTAAGACTATTCCATAACTTTAGCCAAAAAAGCCACTGGGCTATCCATATAACTCAGAGTAATGCAAATACCAAGTTTGTTCCTCCAATTCGTTAACAGATCCTCAGTTTTCACTTTGTGCAAACCGAGGAAATATTTACGGCAAACTTATTTTTAGCCTTGTCTGTTTTTTCCTTTCGTACTCTTCTCACTTCGCATTCCTTTTCTGCTTCTCTTCAGCTTTGTATAAATCTCTGTGGTTAACCACAATATTCAAACCTAACACGGTGCAAAGCATCCCTGAAGAGAAAAGTAAGCCGGTCGTGCGGGAGATGGATGCCGATGTTTGTAACCGCACTCCGTAACCTCCTGCCCATCGGAGGTGGCAGCTGAGAAGGGAGGACAGGCACCAGGAGCAGATCCAGGAGAAAGTCCATGGGAGGTAGATGTGAGAATTTCCCAGGCCTGGAGTGAGGACAGCAGCACGAGAAACAGCTCTCGCTACGCCACACCTAGATGCTTCATTAATTGCAAGGGACCAGCAGGACTTGAGGATTTATACAAAATAAGGCACGATCCCTGCAGGAACATTTATTGTTCAGAGTACTATTACAAGCAACTACGAGCAAAATATTGAGAATGTAAATGCAGAGACAAATCTAGCAGAGAGGGAAGAACAACTATTAAGGGCTCAGCTACATGGGACAATCTGCTCTCGTGAGACCCCCCCTGGAATACTGCGTTCAGCTCTGGGGTCCCCAACACAAGAAGGACATGGAGCTGCTGGAGCAGGTTCAGAAGAGGCCACAAAGATGATCTGAGGGCTGGAGCACCTCTGCTATGGAGACAGGCTGAGAGAGTTGGGGCTGTTCAGCCTGGAGAAGAGAAGGC